TAGCTACCGCGGACGTGATTGCAAACATCTCTCTAATGTAAGTGGATTTTCCTTGCATGGTTGGAGACAATTTTCGGCTGTAAAATGCTATGGGATGGCCCTTCTGTAATAACACAACACCTATGCCCACACCTGAGGCATCAGTTTCAATGGTAAAAGGTTCCTTGAAATTAGGAAGGACCAGAGTTGGGGATGAAATGAGTTGTGTCTTCAGATTTTGAAAAGTTGTAGCTGCTTCCGTAGACCAATGAAAGCCTTCTTTGGTCAGTAAATCCTTTAGTGGGCTGGCTATTTGGGTATAATGTTTAATGAATCTGCAGTAGTATCCGGATAGCCCCAAAAATGCACGCACTTGAGTGGCATTAATTGGAGGAGGCCATTCAGCAATAGCTTGGGGTTTTTGGGGGTCCGGTGCTACACCCTTGCCCGAAATTAGATGCCCCAAAAACTGTATGGTCTGCTGAAAAAAAAAGGCATTTGGACAACTTGGCAAAGAAAGAATGCCTTCGCAGTGTAGTGAGAACAGCTGACAAGTGTTGAATGTGATCCTGCAAGTTATGACTATACACCAGAATGTCATCAAAAAATATAACCACAAAACGGCGAAGATAGGGAGAAAACACCTCATTCATGGTGGCCTGGAAGGTGGAAGGAGCATTGGAGAGACCAAAAGGCATCACCAAAAATTCATAGTGGCCATGGTGTGTTCTGAAAGCTGTTTTATGAATATCTTCAGGTGCCATTCGGATTTGGTGATAACCCGAACGCAAATCCAATTTGGAAAACACTATTGCTACGTGTAATTCATCTAATAGTTCATCAATGGTGGGTATTGGGAATTTGTCCTTGACTGTCGCTACATTTAATGCTCCATAGTCAACACAAAATCGCCAAGTATTGTCTTTCTTTTTAACCAACAGAACAGGTGAGCTGAAAGCTGATTGGCTGGGACGGATAATACCGGTAAGTAACATTTCTTTCACCAACTTTTCAATCTCATTTTTCTTGTAATGTGGGTAACGGTAAGGTTTGACTTGTATTGGTTTGGTGTCAGGTTCCAGAATAATATGGTGGTTATTAGCTCTGTCTGGTGGCAAGTCAGATGGTTCAACAAAGATGTCAGGGAATTGGGACAATAGTTGTTGGATTTCTGCCGTGTGTAAAGGTTCCGGTATGGGTGGTTCTAGTTGATGTGCTGTATTGAAGCACATGAGGCAGACTTCAATTGAATCTTGGGTGGCTAGTTTGTGTAGTTAAAATATGATTGGCTTGGAATGGGTTGTCCCCTTGCAAGGTAATTGGGACTGTTTGGTGGTTGAAGGTCATAGTGAGAGATTGATAGTCCGTAACAATGGGACCCAAGCTGGCCAGCCATTGGACTCCCAAGACTATGTCAGCTCCCTTAAGTTCCAGCACATATAATTCAACGTGAAACAAGTTGTGTTTGATCCATATTGGAGTGTTATTGCATTTGGCCGAGCATAGGAGATTATCACCATTACCAACCTGCACCTTGAAGGGTACAATAGACAGCAGCAGCAAATTAAGGAAACGAGCCATCCTCGGGGTTATGAAATTGTGAGTACTTCCTCCGTCAATTAAAATTTGTGTTAAGTGTCCATCAATCAATCCTTGCACACAGAATGATCTAGCAGAAGGAGTGCCAAATAAGGCATTGAAACTTATTTCTGGGGGTACCTCAGGTTCTGGTTGCAATTAATTTGTGTCTTTAGCATCGGGTGGGTTAGGTTCTTCTTCCATTCCCTCTAAATAAAGTAGTGTGGCTCGACCCTTGCACTTATGACTGAAAACGTATCTTTCATCACAGTTGTAACACAAGTTTTTCTCTCTTTTAGCTTGCATTTCTTCTGGCGACAACCAACGGATAGGTAAGGCAGAAATTGGTTTATTTTGTACGTTTTTTGGCTAGTTACTGATTGGTTTGGAGTCTGTGAATGTAGTGGATGGTGGTAGTACTTTGGTTGATGGAACCCATAGTTTGTGAGTTTCATCAGTGAATTGATCCTCATAAACTCTTGCTAGAGAAAAAGCTTCATGGAAATCACGTGGTTTGTGAGTCAGCACCAGGCAACGGATCTTTGGTTTAAGGCAGAAATGAAAATGCTACGCATCATGGAAACAGAGATCCCTGAAACTTTGCTTGCAAGTCTTTCAAAAAGAGCTTGATACTCATTCACTGAACCTGTTTGCTGGAGTTTCACTATTGCACCTGTTTGGTCTTCCAATTCATAAGGACCAAAATGGTATTGTAATGCTATGCAGAAAGCAGGCCATGCAAGTAAATTACTATCATCAAACGATCCATTAAACCAACAAGCTGCTGGATCTTCAAGGTGAATGGAAGCTAACAATAATCGTTCATTTTCTTGAATATTGTAGAAACAAAAGTACCTCTCAGCTGCAGTTATCCAAGAAGATGGATCTCCAGACGCGAATTTGGGAAACTCAATCTTGATTTGACGGAATCTGTGTGTGTCTGATCTTGAATGATGATTGTGATTGGGTGGACCTGCTCCTAGAATGCTCGCAGAAGAGGTGCTTCCCGAGTGCTGTTGTTGCATGGCTAATATACGGGTGAGGGTTTCTTGTACTTGTGATTGGGATCCTTAAAGGTTGAGAATTGTTGTTCACGGATGGATTCATAAATCTCCAGACGGTGTTGCAATTCGTCCATTCGTTGGTTAACCTCAATGTGCATGTTATCCATACGATTTGAAACATCTTTTAATCGAGTGTTTTCTGCCATGGATTTGGGGAGGAGAATGAGTGCAATGAAAGCACCAAATTGTTATGAATATTCTTGAAATTGTAAGGATTTAGAGAAGAAAGAGGGAAAGAGATAGATGAGATCAGAAGAGAGAAGAGACTGTCAAACTTTTCATGCCATTTTCCTTTCACAACTAAGTTTTTTAATACATTCTAACAATTTCCTAACTGAATTCTAGCAACTATTCCATGTGAATTTTACGTATCAGCTTCCATAGACTACCGACGTTCAAATACATTGAGATGGGCTCAGTCACCTAACAATGGTACCGATCCAGATAAGTGGGCCGCTTACTAACCCTGTTGGGCCTAACATTCAGATGGGCCGTAACAGTATGTAATTATAAGTATGGCTTAAAACCTATGAACCAAGTTGTTGCTAGTTGGAAAGGGACGTAAGATCAAACTGCTTCAGTTTCTTGCTTTTGGCGATTGGTTCTTCCCTCGTCTTCAAACATATCAAACATTTCAATGTGCTGAGTTTGAACTCATAATATCCTGATATTCATTGGATTTAGCACCAAACCTCAACTCTAATTCGAGTTGTTTAATGAAATTCCGGTGTTCTAGACATGTGGGCAGATCCAACATTCTTTGACCAGGCAAATCTCTAGTTCGAGACAGTCTAACACGATGCCTTCAACTATCTGAATTTCCTGAAAAAAGAATAATAATAAGAAAATAGTAAGTAAATGATATCATTTCAGTTGCATTTTATGCGTCAACACAATTTATGGGAAATAAGTGCATCAATCTCTTGCCCAACTGCTTTTCAAAACAAGCATAGACTTATGCTTTTCAAAACAAGCATGGACTTATTTAGACACACCACTTGTCATTGGTTGCTGCAGTTTGGTCACTCTTCGACCACTGTCATTTATGACTGAAATTTGGTCACCCTTTCCAGTTCCCATCTTCTCTTGTTAGCTATTCAAGTAATTTTAAGAATGTTTTACTCAAAATAAAATAAAAAAGAATCTTTTACTCAATTACACGTGACAATTATCCTTTTTAAGGCCTTTATTTTTTCCTTCTAGAAATACCATTAATGGAATGTATTTTCGAAATTTGTGTCCTTAAAATAACGATGTAGTTTTTTTTTTTTTTGGAAAAAAAATGTACACTGACTGCAAAATCTAGACAAATAAAAAATCTCGAGCTAACTTTTAATTTACAAATCGCTTATAAAAAGAAATTGCTAGAAGCAGAAATCAATCTATATTATTCGAACTGTTACCAAGTGAAAAAACTTCCATTGGCATAATTCAAAGTCTTTCCATACAAATTTTTGAATAACATTAACACATGAGGCACAATATTCATAACATGAAAAAAGATTATGTCCTCTTGGAAGCTTCTAAAATCTCTCGTTGGATATGGATTCTTTCAATTAACATGAGCTTGGGTGAGATGATGTTAATCATACAAAAGCAAATTAATAGTGATGATTATGTAATTATTTATTTTAATTTTTCTTTTCTTTTTTATCACTATTGATTCAGTATAATTATAATTGTCTTACATGACATAATCATATTAATTAACACGCGAGAGAATGTTCTTATCTTAACATTTACCACAATAGTATATTTTTATAGGATAAGTTATAATTATAATTTTTTTTATAAACTTTTACAAATTATATTCTGGAAGAATACATTTTTAAATAAATATAATCTTCAAAGGGAGACATTATATTTATTACCTCTTTTTCTTACTACCTCTTATTATTAAATCTTAACCATTGATTTCTGCTAATCTAATGGTTAAAATTTATTGTATAATACTTATTAATTTTTTAATAAATTATAAATATTTTATTGACAGAAATCAACGGTTAAAATTTGATAGTAAGAAAAAGAGATACTAAGTATAATTTCTCCTATCTTCAAATTATAATAATATAATTTGTAAGAATTTGTAAAAAAAAAAAAAATTGAAACCATAACCTTCCATATTTTTATGGGGTTTGATTTTCTCATGTTGAATGAGAATTCAATTCTCATGTTGTAGAGATAAAAAGCATGTGAGACCCATGTGTTAAAAAAAATTATATGTAAGACCCATGTTAACACTGTATGAAAATTTGAATTCTTATGTTGAATGATAATTATAAAACCCATATTTTTATCATTACTAACAATAATCATTTCCGCACCTTTTTTATATTATCAATTTCAATCTTCTTGCTCTTGTCTGCATTAGAAATTTAGAATCACCGGCAAATAAACCCTAATTTCCTTCCCTTCACCGCACTGGATAAATATTAGAGTTTTGAAGCTCCGGTTGCAGCTGTACTTCCAAATTGAAGAGAGAAAAAAGAAAGAAAGAGAGCTTGCTCAACTCAAATACCTTCGTTTATGGCTATGAGCTCCAGGTTGGAGTGAAGGAAAAAGTTTCCACAAGGAATGAGGTCTTTGCTTTATGTAATTCAGCCCACTCATTCCTCTAATTTGGGTTTTCTGTCTTCTTTTCTGTAGTAGACATAAAAGTTCTTACCTTTCCTCCCTCACATGACATGAAGCATTATGCAAAGCTTTACATGCATAGTTTAACTATCTTCATGTCACTTTGAGCGAAAATGTTCATCAGGGTTATTTTGGTTGTTACATGTGGCAGTTGATGTAGTTCTCTTTTGGGGCTTTGCTGGGTCTAGTCATGGACCACCACAAAGAGAGAATTAAGAGTGGGTGCCAGAAGATTTTGGAAGGAATAAATTCAATGTCCTTGGTAAATTTAGATGACCAACAAGTCCATTCCTTAGTGATGATGAGAGAAATAGCACGTGGGGTTGTTGATGATCGAGATAGGAAGGTAAGGCTTAAGAGAGATAAGTAGATGCTATGTTTTTATACACAATTTTGGCTTGTCCTGAGCATTGCCCTCTTAAATTGGTTGCTACTTACAGGTGACTAAGAATGATGTGATTACTGCCTTGCGCTATAGCATCGAGAAAATGGTTCGCAGTGCTTCTTCCATAAATTAAATCATGATGCGTTATGTCAATGTTAGTATTTTATCTCTCCCTCAACTGACTTGATGCAGTTTGCAGGTGTGTGCATCCAGGGATATCGTGCAAATATTAAGTAGGATGTCTTATGAAGGCTTGGATGACCAGAGGATGCATCTAGTATTGAGGATGAAAGAAATTGCACATGGGATTATGGATAAACAACCTACTGTTGCACCTGACTTACTTGCAGAACAAGGGGTTAATACTGCTTGCTATCTTATTATTTTTAAACTTTTTCCCTTTTGTCTAGATTTAAGATTTTTCGTAAGGTAAATTGATCAGTTTTACAGGTTGGCTTTGTGGATGAAGGGATGAGAATTAGTCCCATGGCCATGGTTGAGTCAACCAAGATTAGCAATGGGGATGCCGTAATTGATGGGGCTCAAAGCATGACACATGAAGATGATATATTGGACGTGGAACATGTTTTAAGATTTGAAAATGGGATAAATGAAGTACAGGAATCTCTGTTGCCATCATGCTTTGAGCAATTTCTTCTGTGGCCTGCTGATGATTGCATCACCTTAGAGTGGGTTCAGGACATGATTTTCATCCTTGAGCAGGCTACACAGAAGAAGATGTTGCCATCTGAATTCTGTCATGTCGTGCCAACCATTTTGGTGGACAAATTGACAGATGCTGCTTGCAGTATTTTGTGTAAAGAACCAAATTGTGTGGAGATTAATTGTCAAGAAGAAGATTCAAGAGTCATTGTAGTAGGCGATATACATGGGCAGTTTCATGATTTAATGTTTCTTTTTAAGCATGCAGGAATGCCCTCTGAGAACCAGTTTTATGTTTTCAATGGAAATTATGTAGATAAAGGAGCTTGGGGCATTGAAGTCTGTTTGGTCTTGCTGGCTTGGAAGGTAAGGTGATGGCCGTGAAACTTAATAGATGTTGGTATGCTTCGTGATTTTATTGTTGTTGTAGTTGTTGTTGTCTTGTTGGGATATATTTACTAGGAGGAAAAAGAAAGAACACAGAAGAATACTGTGCAGAAATATTTATATGACCTAGTAGCTATTATGGTGACCAAATGGAATACTGCACATATATTACTCTGAATATTTATTAGTATGTAAAGTCTGTCATTGTATATTCAGATCCTGATGCCTGACAGAGTATATCTGCTCCGTGGAAATCATGAATCAAGATATTGCACTGCAAGATATGGTTTTAAAAAGGAGGTGTGGACCAAATATGGCGATCAAGGTGAAGCTGTCTACAATAAATTCCTAGAGTGTTTCAAGGAGCTTCCGTTAGCTTCAGTTATTGCCAATTGTGTTTATACTACTCACGGAGGGCTTTTCCGTAGCATACATGCTGCCCCTTCACGAAAGCCAAAACGGAAGAAGACACAAAGAGTGGATCTTGGTTCTTTAGCTGAGTTATCTGAAGTTAAAAGAGCTTGTATAGATTGCCCTTATGAAGGTCCTAACATATTATTGAGTGACATTCTCTGGTCAAAACCATCTCATAGGGATGGTCTGAGGGATAATGCAGGTCGAAAGTTAGGTTTATGGTGGGGTCCTGATTGCACCGAGGCTTTCTTAAAGCAGCACAATTTAAAGGTAATATTCAAAATTATAATTTGACGAGTATTGACTTCTTATTTTGTTGTAACTAATAGTTTGATTAAGATTTCCAGATCTTCTAATTATTAAATTTGTATTAGATGTCATTTATGTATATATCTACCAAATTTGTATTGTTTTTTATTAGCTGAGTATAACCGTGATATTTTAAACTAACTTTCTTATCTCTGCCCCTTGCCTTGCTTTCTTTCTTAAAGCATAGTCTGCCTACTTTTCTATTTTCTTTTTATATTCCTAGGATCAGGAAGTTTAATGTTAACTGAAAATAAAAGCGTTATACTTATTCTTTCCAGCCAGACAATTGAATTATTCACGTTTTTTAATTTGTACACACTTGATGTGTTACTTGTTCATTTCCTTTTTGATGAATTACCCTTTAACCATGGAACTTTAACAGGGAGTAATACTCCTGTTTATATTCTTGATTTGTTTCACTCTGATTACTGAGAATGCAATCACCAAAATCCCATGCTTAAACTTATTATCAGATGTTTGAAAATGTTATCACAGATTGTTATCAATAACAGCTTTCATTTAGCAAGATGGATTTCTTGTTTAGATGTATATGAAAGAACTAATACAAGTTAGTAAATATTAGTTGACTGCCTAGTGAATATTATTATTAAGCTTAGTAAATATCATTCTTGCTGCATAGCTGATCATCAGATCACATGAAGGACCTGATGCAAGGGCTGGCAGGGATGATTTTGGGGATATGTTGAATGGATACAGCATAGATCATGATGGAGAATCAGGAAAGCTATATACACTTTTTAGTGCTCCAGACTACCCACAGGTTCCAATTTGCATATGCAGCTAGCAATTTTATATTGATATTATTCATTTATTCAATGGTTTTACTTTTGTTGCACCTGTTGCATTTATGTTGGCAATATCATAATTCTTGATACTTTGGTTGAATAGTTAAAATGGCTTCACTGAGTGATTTTTGGAAACACGTAAAAGACACAAGCTCTGTCATTGGCCATATGCTAACATGGATGTATTGGCATACAGTTTATGCTGTTACCTATTAAGATGGCCAGAATTTTTCTCTGCACTGTAGCATCTGGTATTTGTTTAGAAATCTAGTATGTAGGAATATGTGGAAATTGTTAGCTTGAAATGATAGAAAATTCATACGTAGTCAACATGTACATTTCGTTAGCAACTCTGCACATGGGAATTGTTACAGAGTACAGACATATAGGTTTTATCACTTCAAAGGAAACAGATCTCACACACTTAGTGTTTGAGAGATGAAATGTAGCTTATTACAAGGACGTGTGACTTTTAGATTTGCAGCATCTGAAGTATTATATCTTTAAAGGTCTTCTATATTGCAGTTTGGTAAAAGGAGATATAACAATGAGGGAGCATATGCACTATTGAAGTGGCCAAATTTCGAAAGTCCTTCCTTTCACTCATTCAAATCAGCAGAAAGACCAATGGTAGTGAGTTCTTATCTAGTTGACAAACAAAGTCTGAACAGAATGTTTTCTTTTCTACCGTAGGGGATCAAATGCAAGCTGAGGGTAAATTACATTGGGCAGAAAATGAGATTTGTATTGAATTCTGGAGAAGACTTAAAAAAAAAAAGAATCTAATAATCAATTTGGAACATTTTGTGGGTATGATAAACTATTTTAATATATTTGAGAATTGTCCCTTGAAAAGTTTCTTTGCTATATGCATTTTCAAGTTGAATATAAATAAATAAAATATTGAAATGGTTTTTATCATCTGATGTTAACTGTTTCTGACTTTTGTACTGCTTGCTTCCCAGGTGGATCCGTATGTTGATTTTGATGCTAATGACATGGACTTGAGTAAACTTGACTCGTCTCAAATCGTATGTTAGCAAATAGCTTTTCCAAGAAGTGCTCCTCAGCTTTCCTTTTCATGTGATAACTATAGGATGAATATAATTGCCTGTAAGAGCATTGGAAATCCTAATAGAAATAGACAATGTTGTGCTGCATATATTTCACATCATATTGCCATTAGGCTATTATTATCAAGCTTTACTATCTAAATTTTACATTGGGTTAGCAAAGAAATTAATTCAATTTTAGTCTCACTTGTTTGCTGACATTTGAAGTGGTATTGCTAGGGCTTTGTATTTTTTTGATCTGCATTAGTGGATAAATATTGATTCCTTCCGCATGTACGAGTTATATAATGCTCGCCACATTGTTTGGACCTATAATTTTTAAAGATTCACAATCTTTTTGAAAAGTGAATTGGGAATCAAATGAGTTACAATGCTCGCTAAGTTGTGTGCTTCCTTCTCAGCTTGGATCGAGGTCTTATGTGTTGTTAGATCAGTAGCAATCTGATATTAGAGTACAAATATGTTTGACAGCTTTTGTCTGGAAACATGGTGAAAAGTTGGTTAAGCCGAATAAGACAGATATGATATCTGAAGTAAAATTCAGAAACCCTTAACCATGCTTATAAGCAGCCAACCATGCTTATATTTTATCACGTAGAGCTGTAATTATAATGTGTCTATTTTGCATATTAGGACTTAAAACATCAATTTTCTTTTCATCATCATGTCATATTACCTGCTATGGATGAAATGCTGAACCAGCTTACTTTTGTTGATGGGCATGCACAGGCCTCAACCTCTTTCTTTTCAGATCCTCAAAGATTTTATCCAGCTGGAATGAGACCAGGGTTTAACTTTGAGGCATTAGGCATATATAATGCCCCTTGTTGGAGTGTTCAGATTCCTGATGGTTCAGGCGGCACTCAAGTTGTGCAGGTTCCAAGGGCTCCTTTGGTGGAAGGATTGCCTCTGCCTCCCAATATACAGGTAGTGTCAAATAGGATTATCAACATCTTTGTTAAAATGGCTAGTTCTAAACCGAAGGTTCTTTGTGCAGGAGCCACACAAGGCTGCTTATGAGTATTTGTTCGAGCTCGTTGCTGCCCTCAAACATATGGTTATAACAAGGGTGAGTTATGTTATGAGTTATGTCTCATGACGTGTTTTTGTTTCACATATATCTCTTTTGTGAAAACCAAGCTCTGCTCTTTTCAATTCAGGAGACTGAGAACAGGGCCCGTGTGTCAGCTTTGCGTAGTAGAGCAAGGAAACGAAAGGGTAGGGGTAACAGTTGATTATGGCACTGACACTGGAGACATCAGCATGTGACAAAAGGTGCTCGATATCCTTTGATTAAATTACCTCCGTAACATGTTTACCTGTCCTTTATGTAAGTATTGGTTTGACTAAGTAATTCTTGTTTCACTGTAAGAATTTTTTAGCTTTATTCCGATAGAATGGACCAAGTTTTTTTCTGTCAAAATGTTTTTGCATGAATATCAAGAAGACTGGGACTTAAGAATATCGATGCAATAAGAATATACAAGGCTAAGGTGAACTTGCATTCCATTTTCTGTCATGTATATAATTTTGGTACATCAATGAGTCTTTTTATTTTTTTGGTAAATATACATCAATGAGACTTTATTGCAGCTTGAAACTACAATCTTTACGTTATATCTCCACTTTGAGTTAACTCTCCACATGGCTGATGACCTACCAAACAATATAACGCTCTTTAAAATAATATCATCTAATAAATTGGTGACAGGTATTGGTACGTGATTTCACAAACTGTCTGCAGAGAAAACAAAGATTATTATTATTTAAGGGTTCGTTTTTTCTGCCGTTACGGCAGATAAGTTATCTGCCGTAAGTCCAATACGACGTCGTTTTGAGGTGGAAATCATGATGTTTTTGTAATTTTAATTTATTTCAGGGTTATTATAGTCTTTATAATTATAATTTTTTAATATTTCAATTTTAAAATGACGTCATTTTAAAATAAATGCAGATAATTTATATGCAGTAATTGCAGAAATATTTTTCTGATTATTTAAACATAAACTTCAGAAGAAAAATAACTGCTTGTTTTCTTAAATACTAGATGCTTTGTTATATTTATGATAATGTGAAGGTTTGGTATACACAAGCATGAGTAGAGTGACGCAATTATGCATAGTTTTATTTTATCAACAGACTCTTTTTAATATATTTTTTATTATTAAGTGACACCTCATTTGATTTAAATATTTTTTAATTATATGAGGTGTGGTCAGAATTTTTTTTTTAAAAAAGTTTGATGCCAAAACTGTCAAACCATGCCGGTGGGAGTGCGCTGTCTGCTTATTTATAACGAAACCTGACTGACACGTCTTCACGTATAGATTTAAATGTAAATCCTAATCCCATGAAGAATATTTATTATTCTTTCAAACGTTGGCTATTGCTTCTAATAATGTTCTTACTTTTCAGGCCATTAATTGGCAAACCAAATTTTAAAACGAGAAAAAACAAGAAGCTATCAGATTCAGATCGTATAAGCACTAATTAATATTTCTTGGTTGTATCCTCCATCATCATTGTGATTGCTGGCTGCACGACATGAACCTCTTTTGACTTGTTCCTTCATGACGCCATTGTAAGCTATCTTTCATCCTTTTTCCAATTTTATTTTCATATATGGGACGTCAAAGTTTTATTTAAAAATAAACAAAAAAAGCATAAGTTATTCTTGCCCCATAAATAAAAGAACATATGAATATCAAGTCAGTTTAGATTAAATTATTTGGTATTTGAAATTATCTTAACAAAAATTCTATGAAGAAAGTTTTTACATAAAACGTTATATTTTTCTTTGAAAAATAAACAAACTTAGAGATGTACCAAATATAAATTTTATGTACAAAATTGTCAATATTTTTTTTAAAAAAATGTTATTATCTTTTTTGCCTGATTGATCCACCATTCAAAACTTTATTTAGACTAAGTGACATTAGAGATCATTTCAAAGGAAAAGTGACGCATCGAAAGCTAGTAAAGGCTGTTACATCGGGCAATAGCTTGTAGATGTAGCCTTTGTCAAATTAATTTGATTAGTACAATCTGGATTTGGAGACTTTAGTAAAGTCTTTTTGCTTATAAAAAACAGAGCAAGTTCTTTTTTCTTTTTTTGGAATCTAATGAAATGCACGGATAGCTAAATGGAGAAGAAAAGAAATGTTCGTTGGAATTTTGAGATTTTGAATTCTCTTCGGCACAGTAGCAGATATGAGCAATTGAGCATATACGTTTTATTAATTTATGGAATTTCACAAAAAAATTTTGGGAAGTCCTTTCCCGAATTTGAGCATATATGATCATATAAAAAGGCAAAAAAATTAAAATATTGTATTTAAATAAAATAATTACGCATTTAATGTTGTTTCGTAAAAAATTACACATCTACTGCACAATGTGACGCCAGTTTTGGGCGTCACATGTGACGCCCCATTGGGGCGTCTTATCCATGGGAGAGACGCCCCAATGGGGCGTCACATGTGACGCCCAAAACTGGCGTCACATGTGTGCTCTATATATTTCCTCACTCCCTCCATTCAATTCACACCTCTTCTCTCACTCTTCATATCTCTCTTCTCCACCAACATTCCTTTATCTTTAATTTAGTATTTGAATTTTAGTTGTAATTCTATTTAAAAATGAGTTCAAATCTTGATTCTGTTCGTGTTGTGTTATATTACAATGGTAGGAAGGTAGAAGGTCGACGAGGGGGGTGCCTCAGGTCCAGGCTCATCAACTCGTGAACTCTCACGAAACATCCCAATAATTCGGCCTATCTCCTCGTGGATATACTGTAGTCCAAATCGAGGAAACTCCTCCGCCGTTGTTGCATGATACAGCATTTCAAGACCGTCAATCTGCATATTACGAAAAAATGTTAGTTGTAATTTGAAACAAATGTAAAATAAGTACAAAACTCACCATGCGCCCTATCTTTGCTGCCCTTCGTGATATGTAGCGCTTTCCCCTCTCTCTGAACCACTCCATGTACTCATGATTAGGTGACATCAAACCATATAATGGAGGTGGCAGTACAATATGCTGAATCCTAGTATTCCATCGATCAATGTGAGCCCTGAGCTTACGTCTCCAGTTCTCTTCAACCTTCCCCCGTAGAGTATGATCATGTATTCCTCTCAATTTTCTAGATTTTTCCGGGATGGGTTGATTAAGACCAAACTGTCGCATGCACCTATCCGGTTGACATGCCTCAACTGTGTGGAAGTAGATAATAGGTGTGGGAGCTAGCCACAGATACTGCTGCTTTGGAGTCACGTCAAGCCACTCATATTCTATATACGGCTGCCACACCACCTACAAACAAAATGTGAAACAATATATAGAGTTACAAAAAAAAATAAACCCATAGACAAATAACAACACCGTAAGTATCTAACACCAAACCTCATCTCTACAGAGTGTGTCCAATGTTGCCCGATAATGGGTGACCTCATGAGGTTTAAACTTTTGTACAACATTAAACCTGTCAATCAAAAACATTATCAACCATACATAATCGTCCAAAGTCAAGAAGTATACAGTTAGTACATACAGTATTAACCATACATTATCGAAATCAAATGAAGTAAATAAATCATACCGGCATCCATAATGTGTGCCCGGCTGTGGATGAGGAGGAAGGGGTGGAGCAATGGGTGGGAATCGTATCCATGCCCAAATTTGAAGGAGAATATGGCAACCACCCATGTCGCTTCGACGGGCATCTGTCACTTCACACAAATTCCTGAACAAGTGTGTCAAAACTGCAGATCCCAAGCTGAATCGGCCAATGTCCTCAAATCCTCCACCTAGCAACGGGACAAGCCGACAACCAAAATTGCTACCTCCAGACTTGTCCGCCAGCAACCAAGTCCCCAACATCCGCGCAATGTGAGCTTTTGTGAAGTAGATCTCGGCAGCATGATTCCCTTTATGATCAGTCCACCGGGTATAATGTCGATCCAAGAATGAGATGCGGAGGTCGCCAGAATGATGGAACTCACCGGCCTCTGGAACATGTCCAAAAACACCAGCACAAGCAGCGTGCCAATCCTCAGAGGTCGATCCGATGACGACAGTACCGTCGGTCGGCAAGCCCAAGATGCCTGCCACATCTTGTAAGGTGATCGTCATCTCACCTTGGGTCATGTGAAAGGTATGTGTCTCTGGTCTCCACCTCTCGACCAGAGCACTAATTAAAAATGTATCTATCTGTGATAAATTACGCAGTTATCACGTGTTAACGAATTACATTATTTAATTACATAAATACAAAACGACATAAATAACATACCTGGATATGTTGCATCCTGGCAACATGTATGAAACCCGCCTGTCTGAGGTACTCTTCCACAACCTGTGGAATAGCACCGGTAGGTGGGCCCCCTTGTGGCTTCCCACGCCTCGTCTTAATCTTTCTTACATGCTCAGTATTCCACACACGCTGTGAAATATGACCTTTCTGCGTCCTCTGACGAAGGACCTCCCACCTGTAGGGTCCAGGTATGATCCACATGCTGAGATCGGTGGGCTCTACATCTGAATCAGATCCCGAAGAAGATGATGACTCAACCATTATCCTTAACTAACTACAAAGTTATGCACTCCCGCATTAATAACATCATACATACGAAATTTACAAAGTCTCTAACACTATTTATAAATCACTAATTAATATGCTAAACCCTAATACATAATTAAAAATCAGTAATAATAATAACTACGTAATAATAATATTACTATATCATTACAACATTCATAGCATGACACAAAATTTTTAAGTGACTATCCTAATGTTCCAAGTCTCTAATATACAATCAATCCTAACATGTATTACTAACTAGCACTGTAATTTAAATGTATACATATGAGGTAGTATGACCTTACCTACGTTGGCAGAGCTTCGCTACGAACCGCGGTTAAAGAGAGGTTAGAGAGAGGTTGGAGAGGTAAATGAGTAAGGAGTGAAAAAAGGAAAGTGGTATATATAGGTTGCACATGAGACGCCCTCTTTGGGCGTCACATGTGACGCCCCACTGGGGCGTCTTCTCTAGGAGAGAGACGCCTCACTGGGGCGTCTCATTGTGCAACAGATGTGTAATTTTTAACAAAACAGCATTAAATACGTAATTATTTTAATTAATTACATTATTTTAATTTTTTGCCCATATAATCAACACGGTAGAAAATATGAGCATATAATCATCATGCAGTGACATAATTCAAATACCGCAAAACATAATAACTTTGAATAATAATAAAAGAGTCGCTAAAGGTTTAAGATTTAAATTTCTAAATATAAATGGACATACAAATGTTCGACTAAGAGCTTTCAATTTTAGCTTGTTGATTCACTCTTTGTGTTCAATTAAACATTTTGAGCTTGTTAATTTATAAATATTTTGTTTACAAACTACGGGAAGTACAAACACTGAAGTGTGTACTCTCCAGAATAGATAATGTAATTTATGAATAAAAAATTTGTAAATATAACCTACCTTATATACTTTTGCACAAAAGTGCAAGATTGATGTCATGAAATCATCTTTCACGAGTGCATCCACATACATGATGCCGAATGCGCATGGAAAAGATGGCTAAACACATAAAGTTAGAATTTTCACAAAAGAGTAACCATCTGGTTCTCAATTTTAATTATCAAAATAAAAAAATATCAACACTTAGAATAAGGGGCATAAGCACCTTTTTATAAACTAATTACAAATTGATCCAAAATTTAAAATTCAAAATTCCTAAAAATAAGAAAAATTCCTAACATAAATATAAAGGTAACTAACTTTCAAAAATAAATAAATGATTACAATTAAATAATTCAAAACATGTCCCAAGTCTTAGATCATGCCAAATGTGTTTCTTTTCTTTACTTGGCAAACAAAGCACAATCATATCTGCTGTTTGAATTTGATCGTAGTTTATTATATTTTAAATCACTGCTTCTTTCAACAATTGAGTCATTCTTATTGGCTACAACTCTGGTTGACTCTGAGCTTCTCAAATCAATGTTGGACTATGTGCAATGGGCTAACTGTAAGTGTATAATTCTCCCCTGCTAGGAAAAGATTCGTCCTCGAATTTGCTTGATATTCATTGATATCAATTTATTTAGACAAAACTCAAATAATAAATCTTCATCTATTAGATCTTTATAATCTAATTCTCCATCAAATTTATCATAGACTGAATTATCATCATAAACTGAATCTTCTTCATAAGATGGATAATCATCATAAATGGGATAATAATCATCCATCGCATGATCATCATAAATTGTGTTATGATCGTAGACATCAAAATCAGGAATGTTAATTTGTATCTCGATATCTTGAAAAGTGGACTGAATTCCAGGTCGTACTTCTCAATTTTGTCTCTGGTTCAGAATCCTCAAGGGATTGACATCCTCCTCTTCGTCATCAGATACGTCCTCTAATTCTATTCCTTCTTCGGATTGAATGCCTAACTTTGTCCATGCAAGTTGTCGCTCAAAATCTTGAATTTGCACCGGCACAAGTAGTACCTCTAACAATTAGATTTTCATGCTCTGCGCCTCCATAAGTTCATGAATCCGCCTTCCGAACTCTTCATTTTCTATGTCACTTGGGTCTATTTGACGTGATTGTCTATCTTCTTTAGGAATGAATCCATGTCCATTGTCTTTACGACTCTACCATAGATGACCTCTACGATTCTATTTAGCCATTGGTTGAAGGCAAACTAGTTATCTGATACCAAATGATGCCGAAAACGCATAGAAAAAAATGGCTAAACAAAAAGTTAGGATTTTCACAAAAGTGTAACCCTGATTCTCAATTTTAATTATCAAAATAACAAAACATTCAACTTCTAGAATAAGGGTCATAAGTCCCCTTTTATAAACTAATTACAAATTGATCCAAAATTCAAAATCCTAAAAATAAGAAAATTTTCTAACATAAATATAATGGTAACTAACTTCCAAAAATAAATAAATAATTACAATTAAATCATTCAAAACACGTCCCAAATTTTAGATATCAAATCATGCCAAATATGTTGCTTTTCTTTTCTTGACAAACGAATCACAATCATATCTGCTGCTTCAGTGAGACTTGAATTTGATTATAATTTGTTATATTTCAAATCACTACTTCTTTCAATAATTGAGCCATATTTATTGGGCCACAGTTCTAGTTGATTCTAAATTTCTTAAATCAATAATTAGACCAACAATGGGGCCAACTATAAATATATCAATTTTTACGCAAAAGTGCAAGATTGACATTAGGAAATCATTTTTGATGAGTGTACATGATAACAAGAACATCCACATATATAAGAATAAGATGGCAAAAAGCAAAAAACAAAAAACAAAAAATAAAAAAATACATATATAAGCAATTAGTTCTTCACCTGTCTATAATTGAAAGCTTACAAATTATAAACAATGATTAATTATCAAAAATTCTCACTACTAACTTACTACCCATCACATTTCCATTGGATCAAAGAGAGAAAATATTAAAATATTCTTGAAGAGAGAAAAAATGCTAATTTAATAATGATTAAATAAGTAGTGAAAAATTTTAATACTTAAAATCTCCATCTCCGCAAACAAATACCATAACCTGTGTTCATTAATCATTACTGTCCCTTGCTATTTAAAGATCCCATTTTTTTTTCTTCCAAGTATCTCTCTCCGAAAGCAAAGCATGTTTCCACGTAAACGCCGTTAGAAGCGGTCTATCATCTAAATTCTAATCCAATTTCTTGCTTCGCCAGTCACACTCCTTTTCATTTACAGCGCTTTATTGTCCCCCTCTTTTTTTCCTCTCCTCTTTCTTCTTCTTCTTTTTCCCCCTTTCTCTTTCGTTAGGGTTTTGACTCTTCCAAAATTTCAATTTGTAATCATCATCATCACCACCACCCAGTTCCTGTTTCACAGAATCTTCATTTGCCCGCAAACGACGTCGTTACAAGATGATGCCCCCGGGTCTCGTTTCGAACCTGCAAGAAGTGCTTCTCAACAGAAAAGGGGTGCAAGAACAAGAACCAGAACAAGAACATGGTCACGACAATTCTGAACCCACTACTTCCACCGACGAGCCTGTTGAATTTGATCCCTCCAAGCCTATTGTGTTGGTCACCAATAGCGATGGGGTTGAATCACCTGGCCTCACACACCTCGTTGAAGCTCTTGTTAATCAAGGCCTCTACAATGTCCATGTCTGCGTTCCTCAATCGTGGGTCTTTCTTTTCTCCTCGTTTTGTTTACTTTGATTTTGAAAATCGACGTAATGCGTTAATTTTCATGTTTTGGTTTGTGGGTTCTCTCTATATTTGGTTATTTCGTCCAAAGTTTGGAATTTTTTTTTTTTGCTGTGCCTGTTTATTGAATATGGGATATGTTTGTAATTTGTTAGTTGGTAAAATGGTTGCTTTAGGGACAAATCGGTTTCGGGACACTCTGTGACCCTCAGAGAAACTGTGGAAGCCAGTTCTGCCAAAATTAGTGGTGCCATGGCCTTTGAGATTTCAGGTATCACTTGAATTATATTGCTTCATCTGTGTTTGTCTGTTCCCTATGTATTCAGTTCATGTTAACGTGGTGCATATATGATGTGGATTTACTGGTCTTCTCTAGTTGTTCTGAAATAAAAAATAAAATAAAATTCATCATCCATGGAAATTGAGGACGTATTTAATTGATTTACGTATTTATCTTTGGGTGGATTTATCAGCATAGTTGCAGGTGGTTTGTGGCTTGGAAAACTAATACAGTTACATAAATTTCTTATTGTTTTATAAATTTTCAGGAACTCCTGTGGATTGTGTTTCACTAGCATTATCTGGGGCATTGTTTTCGTGGTCAAAGCCTATGCTGGTTAGCATTTATATATCGTATAGCTGAATTTTTATGTGTGTGCCTGTTCTCATAGCAAAGTGCTGAAGATTTATTAATGATACTATGATCTTAATCTCAGGTTATTAGTGGCATTAACCGGGGATCAAGCTGTGGTCATCACATGTAAGTTAGTACACAATCCCCACCTTTGCCCTTTTGTAGTATTCCATCTGGGTTTCATTTAAAGCTGTGTATGTATCCTCCAGCATTTGCATCCCTATGTATAGACCAGTGGTTTATCTCATGCTTTGAAATACCCCAGGTTCTACTCAGGTGTTGTTGCTGGAGCTAGGGAGGCATTATTAAGTGGTGTACCGTCATTATCAATATCATTAAACTGGTAAATTGATCATTATATATATCCATTTTTAACTATGCTTTATTTGGAGGTTATGAATTGGAATTATATTCTGTTATAGGAAGAAGGATGAAAGTCAAGAAACCGATTTTAAGGATGCAGTAGCAGTCTGTTTACCGTTAATAAATGCAGCTATCAGGGATGTTGAAAAGGGAACATTTCCCAAAAGTTGCTTTCTGAATGTAGAAATTCCCACATCACCATCGAGTAACAAGGTGTGCAATTTTTTTTAAATATCGAATAATTTTGTAAAATGTTTTGTTGCATTATGCATATACTTTAGTTATTGGGCCATATATTGTACAAAATGTAGTGTGCATGATGATATTCTTGGCTGATTAGATTGTAATGATTTAAAATATTTCATAGTTTTTTCTTTTTCTTTGGGCATATTGTTTACATGGATGCAGTTTACCCTTTTATTGATAGGGCTACAAATTGACCAAGCAAAGTATGTGGAGATCCACCCCAAACTGGCTAGCTGTTTCAACTAGCCGCTATCCAGCTGGTCATTTCTTGGCCAATCAACCAGGCGGCCTTGGTCTTCAGTTTGCACAGCTTGGCCGAGATGCCTCTGCTGCTGTTAGTGTCCTTGATGCTTACAAAATCATGTTGATGTTCTGTGTAATCCGAAGGGATTTTAATGTATCTAGTCTATTAATGCTGATGTTCGAATCTTCTACATCTTTATCTACTTCAGGGTGCAGCTCGTCGATTGGCTACACAGAAAAAGAATTTGGAGATTATTGAATCAATTGGAGCTGCAGGAAAAACTGATTCCAACAGGGTGAAGAAGTACTTCCGACTAGAGGTAAATAGGAGGGGGCAACAAAAATCTTTATTAGAGTTTGTTATTGCAAAGAACCAATTCAACCCAAAAGCTTAAGCTGTTGAGTGAGGCTACATTAATGGTTTTTATATATCTCAACACGCCCCCTCATACGAAAGCCCACTGGGCTTGAAGAGTGGACAATGCACAGGCCCACCTACCTGTGCAAAGAAAGAAATTCCACTAGAAAGAGAGTGGGGGGCAGTGAGGATCGAACCCGGTACACCGAGGCTCTGATACCATGTAAAGAACCAATTCAACCCAAAAGCTTAAGCTGTTGGGTGAGGCTACATTAATGGTTTTTATATATCTCAACAGTTATCATCTTAATCCTGTTAATATTGAAGTTAATCTATTTTTCCATGCTTAGTATGGAAGATAGAAATTTGTGGAGAAGAGATTATCATAGAAATTTGAATTTATTTTCTGCGTTATCTGTAAACTTGCCATGGGTTCTTCTACTGTTCTACATATTACTTGTGACACTTCCATTTACTTATGATTCAGGTTGCTAGTTTCACTTAATGTATTTATATGTTATATTTATATAACAATTAAATAATTTTAAATTGTTTGTAGAAGTGAACTTAGATATAGTTTTATTGTATCTTCAGTTTTTGGAGAAGGAGCAAGAAGATAAAGATGAGGATTTGGATTACAGAGCACTTGAAAGTGGTTATGTAAGTTGGAACATTAAATTGTTGTCTTCTCAATGAACAATAGTTTTTCTTAACAAATATTTTTATGATGTTAATGGGTGCATGCTAGTATCTTTAGGAGCTGTCATACATGTACCAATTTCCCCCCCCTTGACTGGTTCTTGCATGTGATATGGAGCAACAGGTTGCAGTGACTCCGCTTCCTCTTTCTTCTGATACTGAGGCCGATATTCAAATGGAAGCTTCTGATTGGATTTCTGCTGTGCTTGCTGATGGACAATAAACTAAAAGTTGAGCATGATTGTGTGTACATCTGAGGTTTATGATCATTCTTTCTTCTTTTTTCTTCCTTAAGCAAAGATGGAGCAGAAGCGGTAGTCACACCAATTCAATAGTTGATTTGAATTTGTACTTTTTCCCGTTTCGTTTTACATTTTTTCTTTTGTTTCCTTCTTCATTGTTTCAGTTCCTTTGGTCACTTAGTTATTCCTGATTTGAAGCAAAAGCTTCCTGTAATTTCTCGGGCATATTTTAGAAAAATGCCATTTCGTCTGTCTGTAATATCTATTACTAGCAAAACACTGGATCAGTTGTAATTTTCCACTTATTTCTTCGTTTGAAGATAGTTAAACTTTGGGTTGATGATTTCTTAGAACATATGTTCTGTGTCTAGCAGTGCCCTGACAAAATAAATCGTTACACTTTAGTTGCAGTTTTGCGTTCGGGGTAATATTCTGAAGAATTCAAGTAGAAAGAATTAAATTTTAAAAATGAGTTTGTTTTTATATTCATAAAATGTAAATTTTATTGAGAGTTTAAATTTATAACTTCTTGGGTATAATTTAGTTGGCAATATAGTTTGAGTAGTGTGGGGAAAGAACTTGGATTCGATTGTTATCAAATAAATATTTGGAGAGGGATAAAGAGTTTTAATTGTGATAAGAGTTGAAGTTTATGGGGATATTTGAGAGCTTGACTCGATTCAAAGAGTTAATTAAGGTAATTATACCAAAAATAAATAAATTTGTAACCTCTTATGTTTATTTTTATTATTATTAGATTAAAATTAAATCAATAGTCATGCGTTAATTCTGTTGATCTGATTTTGAATTAAGGATGATAAAGTCGTCGTAAAAAGGTTTGAGGAAAATTAGGCATTGATGTCACAAGTGATGGAAGTGAATGTTAGCAATGGAAGCATTGAAGTTTCCTTCTTTTACACCCAAAACACTCGATTGAAACCAATCAAAATATCCACTGAGCCTAATCACAACTAACTGGCAATAACTCCCCGCAATGCCATTACCATACCCATTTAGTTCTTTCTACCCAAATTTAAGTATTATTATTATGGTTTTCATTTTATCCTTTAACATAACACAACAAACTTTCCTACACTCACAACATTTTGTGGGGACCACACTTTTTAAAACAAAAAAAATAAACAAAAAATTAAGGCACGCAAAACGAATCTCTATAACATTACACAATCACTTTTCTTACAATATAACTCTTATAAAACCCTATTATTATTATTAGTGGAAGGATATTGTAACAATCAAGTTGTGTTATTAATATGTTACTATTAATCAATCTCACCGTTAGATTGATTATGTTGATCCAACGGTTATATTTATTTTCATCTTTGTATGGTCATGATTTTTCAAATTTAATATTTTATATTTATTTTCACCTTTTGTATGGTTATGATTTCTCATATTTAAAGCTTTCACTTTAAATATGGGAAATCATAATCATACAAAGATGAAAATAAATATAACCGTTGGATCAACATAATCAATCTAACCGTGAGATTAATTGATAGTAACACAAGTTGATTGTTACAATATCCTTCCCCTTATTATTATTAGATTAGACGGGGTGCTTTATTAATAAAAAGGAAGAGGAAAAGAAAGAAAATTGTGGAGATTCTCGTACGCCGGGGAATTGAATGCTCCCTTCAATTTTTATATCTCTTGACAAGGCATAGATGAATAGATAATTAGTAAGAAAAACAGTCACTACAGTGTATATATATCTGTTGAAAATTGTAACTGCTCCTTGTCTTGTCAATGAATATGTGAATGTCTGTGGGATTCTCACTGGTGACCAGTGACTTTTATGTAAAATGCCAATGGGACACAAATGCTCCTTACTATATATATAATTAATGTATATATGGGTAATGTGCAAATTCACATCATAAACAGAACTGCGCTGTGTAGATATCAATATACAATGATTCTTTCACGTGAACAGCAGGGCAACCAAGAGCTATTCCGTCATGGATTACAGCTTAGTGTCTCTGTCACTGATTTTGAAGGTAAAGATTCAATCTATGCGGACTTCATGGCAGACCCATCCAAAAAGTGTGAACTTTGCTTGTCATCAGTTACAGTTCTAACTATATATTGTCTATGAATTTTTTATTTTTCAATTTTTTCAAAATTTTGTTAATTGAAATGTTACGCTAGTATCTATTTTATTGGATATATCGTTTAGTATAGTATATATGATATACTAGTTTTTGTTTCAAGCTTATTGTTGCTATATGTTTAGTCCCCGATACCAATTAATTCATATATATATATAAGAGTAAATAATTTTATACACTGAGCTTGCTTCTAGATTGATGTGGCAAAAGAGTGAAAAGGAAGCCTTTAATTAATCTATTTTTCTCATCTTACTTTCCTGCTTAAATCCGTGTCAAGAAAAGCCCCTGAGAAAATAATGAAATGATTCTGAAGATGGCTGGCCCATAAGAAACAATACTTTCTAAGATTCTGAGCTAATTGATTGGGAATGCAAAATAAGGCCCACCCTTCATTCATGATAGATCAGGGAGTCCACTCCTGGGGTTCTGGGCCCTTCAAATTATTGAAGTAACGCGGTATCAGCTGTCACCAAGAGGGGTTTTTGTGAACTTTTTGTTTGCTCTCTTTTTTATTGCAAAATCAAAATGGTACAAATTCACACTCACCCAAAGTTAATTATCAACACAGGGAAGACAAATAAAAAAAGGGAAGGGGTGGTGGGTAGGCATAAATTCAGCTTATGATTGAAAGGGTCTATGTCTCCCTTTTTCAACAAGATTCCATATGTTAAACACAATCATAATTTGCCAATGCTCTTCTGATATATATAATGAGACTCGGGAAAAAGCATTGGCAAAATAATGTAATTTTTTCTCCCCCTTTTTGGTTAACTATTCTTTTTAGTCATTTTCTGCTTTGTGATGATATATTGCCAGCAATTGCATGATATGGATGATTTTTTTAAATCAGAATCTCTGCTTTGAACAATAAAGGTAGTAATCACCATTAGATTATTGGGTTGTTGCTATAATCACACTAAAACCGTGTTGGTATCTTCACTGTGATTAGGAAACGGCAACCACAAGGAAGGGATAACAGGTATGAGACAGTTTTGGAACTTGCTATAACATTGCTTTCTCCCAACTGTTTCAAATCTTTCCTTTACTAGGTTGCTTCTGTTATAATGTGAGAGGCTGAGTGCCAACAATTTCTCTTCATAATTTTGTTTCTACATTGACTTTTCGCCATTGTTTGTGTTACAAAAATATAATAAAAAATTATTAAGGTGATCTTCACGTAACAATTTAAACTTTTAAGTTAAAATGATTTTTACATAATATTGTAATTTTTAATTTTTACCGTCTCATTTTATTAATAAATAATTAAATATTACGAAATTTCTTGATATAGATAAACGAAGTTTGTGCATTGTCAACTCTTCAAATTCCTTTTGTATTAATGTGTCATTCACCTAATTAATAGTTTAAATTTTTGAATTGAAGTGATTTTGTATAATTGACTTGTTTGGGTTGAACTCCATTTGAATCTAGCTGAACATTTTTTTTAATACTAGGCAACTTAATCTAACATAACTCAAACTTTTTTTTTTTTTTTTTGCGAAGAGTCAGATTTGGTTTCCTTATAATCACTTTTTCTATTGGTTTTTCAATGACACAATGGTAATGTCTTTCTAAGTTAGACGACTTAAATTCAACCAAGTCATTTTTAAAATTTCAATTGGATAAAATATTTGGAAGGTATTTTATTTGTCTATAATGATATACAAAACCATCATTATCTATGAAATTCGAACCCGAATCGGACTTGTAATTCAGTTTGTCTGTCCCATTGGTCCTTATTTCATATTTCATACGCATATGATTTATACCCGGCATATTTTTTTTTACCTATTTCTTTTCGTTATAACCAAAAGTCTCTTTCTCGCCTACCGACTTCAGATTAAAGGCTGTCTATAATATGATTACTAAATGGCTGCATATTTCAAGAGAAGAAAGCGAATATCAAGTAACATGACAAAAATTTTGAGAATGAGTTTTTTTTTTTTTTGAATTTTCTCAAGGTATTCTCAGCCGGCAGTCGAAGACTAATCTTTTAGAGCAATGTTATTAAAATCGACCCAGTCATTGACCTGGTCGAGGTACTGAGTCAGTGGATCACGGGTTCTACCGCATGACCCGATAATTATATGCAATTTTATAATTTATACTAAAAAATTATAAATATACTCAAATATTTATAAAAAATAATAAAAATTTCAAATATTTTAATATAAAAAATAATAAATCACATATTATTATCGAATAAAAGATCAAACAAAAATATAATGATCGTGATACGAGACTTTAGGTTCAGAAAATGATATCTCTAAATATAAATCAAATCAAAATTTTCTGCATAGTGCATAATTGAGATAATATTGTGTTGTAGGTACATAACTTATGTAAGTCAATAAACAAAAAAAATATTCAAATATGTCCATTATGATTTTTTTTTTGAAAAATAATTTTGATTTTTTTTTTTTTGGGACCGGGCCGGGTCACCGGTTAACCGCCGGGTCGAACCGGGTCACACCGGTTCTGATGCATGGCCGGTCCATTGCTTCAATCGGACCGGTTATATGACCGGTTTATCGGTTCCCGGGTCAGTCCAATTTTATTAACACTACTTTAGAGATATAGAAATCATCGAAATGTATTTTACATCTACCAACAAAATTTTTTCATACACACGGCAAGAAATTAGTGTGTGAGTGCATGTAATATGAGGTTATATTTCTACAAAACCGATTTTTTTTTCATATGACTAATCCAAATCACATAAAATTGAAATTCGAACCAACACGATTGAAATATATTGTCTCATTTTTTTTCTCCAATTGAAGTAATTTATCTTTTTTTTTTTATCAATTTGCAATAACTTAAATTTTTTTAACTGTCAACTTTTTTAATGAGAACTGGAGGACAGGAATGGAGATAGAAAATTGGGATAAATTAAAGATTTGAATCCAAACTAACTATCCCGAGGGTGAAAATATCATAATAGAGCAAAATGAGTTTAAAGGAAATTAAGTTGGAGTTGCCTCAGAGAGCGGGAGGGACTCTAGTACCTTCGAGTTTGAACTAAAAGAGAGCTTGAGAGGGAAATGCAATTAATAGCAAGACACCCTGGTAATAGTATATACTACATAACGATTTTCGTGCCATACATATCGCTTTGTAGTACTCAACGTTGCTTTGCACTGATATGAGTTCCAATTTGCAAATCATTTCTTTTTAAAACGAATAATAATTCATTTCCTCTAGGCCTTCTGTCTTTTAATTTGTGTTCCAAGCTGTTGATATGCCAAAATGTCTGATAATTTTGATAAATTAAAGATTTGTTAATCGGCAGTTACCAAATGAAAGAGGAAAACATAATATCTTATTATAAATGTGGGATTAACGTTTCTCTTGCCATATAAGATAAAGTTATCTCATACATCCCAAAATGACATCTTTCTAGGGTTTGGGAAAAAAAATGCAAAGTATTTAAATAAAATTTATAATATAAAAGGAAAGAAAAATTCTAAAAATACCATTTTTTCTAATCCAAAATGATGTCGTTTTGGAGTTATTCACTTGTTGGAGATAACTTTATCTCTTGTTGCAACAGAAACACTCAACGTGCTATGTTGCACTGACACCGACATGGGACACCGGACACTACACGACACTTCGACACATTAATTCTTAAAAATATTAGATTTTGACACGTTAGGACATGTTTTGATATTAAATAATATTTTTTAATTTATGTAATGTATATTATAAGATCATTTCTAAAGCTAAGATATAAGTGATTTCATCATAATGAACGAGCAAGTCACTTTATAAATGAAGCTAAACTTATAATACCCATCAATTTTGCAAAGAAATATAAGATATCACAAATATTTATATTAAACTCAATAAAATGATAATCGTAATCCAACGAATCTAATAGTTGAAACTAAAAATGCAATGCAACGCAACCATTGAATCCCTTTTTTGAATCTCTGCAACGCGTGTTGGAGTGTCAGGAAGTATCGGACACGATATGTCAGATTTTTTGAAATGTCGGTGCATCATAGTCTACGTGGATAGAAATAGGACATAAACAGGATAAAAACGAAACATATAGACTTACAGGACTTTGTTGTAAATCATGCATCATAATGTAAAAGTAAAATAAAAGGTTAAGTAACTTTTTTAAGCAATTATATAACTTTTAAGTAACTTCTAATTAATTTTAATATTATTTAAATGAAATTGAATAATGGAGATTAACTCTTTTCATTTCTTATAGTAAAATAATATTCTCACTACACACACACACACATATTAATCGATTCTCTATTTTTCCTTCCTCTTTCCATCAAAAGATTGAAAGTGACTTTTTTGTTCTTCATTCTTATCTCTAAAACTTTAACCAATTTATAAGCAAGATCAAATTTTCTCCGGGTAAAGCATGGAAGTGATTTTTTGTACTTACATTCTTTTCTCTAAAACTTTAACCAATTTATAAGCAAGAACAAATTTTCTCCGGGTAAAACAAATGTCAAGACTCATGATAGGATGGACCCTTACAAAATACGGTAAGATACAAAAGTAATTTAACAGTGTGATATGTTTTGGACAATTTGTTTCTCTAGTAAAAGAAAATTAGTGGAAGATTTCAAAGAAGTATCAATCAATATACTCCAATATGAAATCAGTTTAAGTGCTTGTTTTAATTCTTGCCGAGCAATATGTTATAGAGGCTACCAGCCACATTTAAGAGCACTTTGGCCTCAAGTACCAACAAGTTGACCATAATGCGTACGGCTTTTGTCTTTGTTTGACGTCGCGCGTCAACCATAAATGTCAGAGAGGGAGAAAGAGAGAGAGCAATGAAACAATGTGTCAACTTAAAGTGCACAACTAGGCACATGATTGTTATACAATATACAGTACTTCACAATACATCATACACAAATCGATACTTATTTTTAGTCGGCAAACATGTGAAAAAACATAAACATATTTGTGGAACTTCAGCAAGCATCACTTAATGGAAGAGCCTGAACTAGCAAGCCTCACAGGTTTGCCAATAGGATACCTACTTTCCCTCTTTTTCTAAAGTTCAAGAGATAATTAAATGCATTTCCCCCCCTTAAATTGCACGGAATAAATTGAGCTTATCAAATATATTAATTGACTTAAACCTAGTATATATATATATATATATATATATATATAGTACCAATGCTCAAGACTCTCCCAGCTTGAAGGAATGATATAGGTTTTGGGACTAATTGTCTACTTGGTAGAATGATACTGACAATGAAGATGTTGTTAAGGATGGTAACGATGACATGAGGGCATCAATGTGCTCCACTTGATTGGTTGTCACAGTTTGATCTTGTGGAAAAATACCAGGTGCATCACACTGAATTCTTGCAAGAGCCTCATGTTCTTGTGAAGAAGAAGAAGAATATGGGATGCTACAAACATAATCCTCAATTCTCTCACAGACTTTTGGCACAATGGGTTCCACCAAGTGACAGTCATAATGCTGCCATGTACTTGGAATATTGATGAATTTCTCAACAATATAATGTGGGGTGGTATCACTTTTGGTAATTTGATTTTCTTGACTTGGATTAAGAAGAATAGGTACGCAGCCCAATGACCATGTATCTTCATAGGAAGATGGATTGGATGGTATAGTTTCTGGCATTGGATTCTGAATATGTAGGAAATTGGAATTATAATTGTTAATGTCTATCTTGATATCATTATGATCAAAACCTTGTAGGATTGGGGATGTGATGGGAAGGAATAGCTGGTCTAGGTTATGATGATGATGAGAGTTTAGGATTGGGTTGTCAGTTAAAGGGAAGAAACTTTCAACAGAAACATTGGCTGCAGGGACATGAATATCATGAGAAAATGTGGCTAAAGAAGGAGCAACATCATGAGAAAGGAGCTTCTTCTTTATGCTTGAATTCCAAAAGTTTTTCACCTCATTATCTGTTCTTCCAGGTAAGTGCTTTGCTATCTGAGCCCACCTGTCCAAACAATACCCTTGACTTGAGAAAAGTGAACAAAGAAACCTTTTGATAATAATAATGTTGATGTTGATCTTGAAAAGAAAAAAGCAAAAACGAAATTTAATAATAAAAAACAGCTAGCTAGCTAGCTAGCTAGCAATTTCTACCTGTTGCCTAGAATACTATGGAGTTCGATAATGAGGGCTGCTTCTTGAGGAGAGAAGCTTCCACGTTTCAAATCAGGTCTTAGATAATTTATCCATCTTAATCTGCAACTCTTTCCACACCTCTGAAGGCCTGCACTCCATGAAGTAAAACCATACAAGTTTTGAGAACAAATGAATGAAGAAAATGAGAATAAAGAGGGAACATAAACACTATATATATAAGTTTATTAATTAATATATAAATTACCTGCAAGTTTTGGGACAGAGCTCCAGCAACCATGTCCATAAGTTGTGATGTAGTTGATGAGTTTTTCATCTTCTTCAGGTGACCATAACCCTCTTTTGACCTTCTGCTTGTTGCAGCAAGAATGATGCCCCATATCTCCTTTCTTTTCTCCCTTTCTTACTCTATAATAGTCTCTCAAAGCACATGTAAAGCCAATAGCCAAAACAAACAACAGTTTTGGAATTATATAAATAATATTAACAAAAAGTATTATAAAAAAAAATGAAGAGGAGCTAGCACAAATTAAAGGGAAAGCTCTAGGCTCTAGATTTAGCCCTAGGTTTCAAGAGGTTATATAAAAATGTGAAAAGAATGGTGTGAGCAGAAAATGGATGATATGGTGAAGTGTGAGTACACTGAGGTGGTGAATTTAATGTTGGAGCTGTACCATTGTGGACCCAATTAGGGTTTGTAGCAAAGTGCTAAAAGCTGCAGTGTCACTCTGCAAGAATTGTAGGCCTTATAATGGATCCTTATTTTCTCACTCTGTGATGGGCTACCTTGTACACGTGTCAAACATGCAGGGTGGTGGGACCTATGTGTTAGCAGATTCACGTTGGAGTACATAAGCAGATGAAGAAAGTTTTCAAAGGGTTAGTCATAATTTGTGGGCGTGGCTTACCAATTTACCTCTCCAGTTTTTGTATTTTTTTTTTTTAATGTATCTGCAAGATAATGATTTGATATGTATCACTTTTTCAACCATTGGGATTCTTCAAAGCCCCAATCTTCCAGCTGTAATGTAAAACTATGTAATTAAGCATATAATAACCATTTCAAAAGATATAATCAAAGTTAGCTTCTTCTTTTTTTATAGTAAATATTTGATGAGCTCTGACTACTAGAAAATGTCTATTTTATTGAATTTTTACATGCATGTATAAAGTTCTAAAAGATCTTGTTGAAAAGCATCCAAATTAAAGGCAGAGTTAATTAATGGGAAGACAAGGGTGGCCGAGGCCTTCAATGATATGTGATCAATTTTATTTTATTTTTAATTTTTACTGCAAAAGTTTGTGCTCTTCCAGAAACATGGCCCTCCACGGTAATATCATTTACAAATTATATTTCCTTAAGCTATGTATAGTTTTGCTCTTATTCATAAGAAGTTTTAATTTCCATCATCATGTATTTTGAGACTTTATATTCTCACACTAACAATAGTGATAAGGATGACAATTCGTATGATAAATAATTAATATCAAAGAATTTTATATCCACCAAAAACAAAAAAAAGCAGCTAAATAATTAAATTAACTAGTTATCCAATCAAATTTGCATATATATAAATTTAAAGTTTGTGAGTTGGCTTTTAGATCCAGTATGCTTTCTTCTTAGAATGTTTCTATACGAAGTTTAAGGAATCAAAATATAATGAATTTTATACGCATTCATTCTGTAATGCGTATTTCGTTACAGAAACGTAGATATTTTTCATTTTTTGTTGTTGAATAAACTACAGTATTTTGAACATATGACCTGGGGCTTTTATGCGGCTTATTTCACACTTTGCATAGATTTTTAGACACCTGTATTCAAAATAAAAAATAAAAAATTATTAAACATCTTTTTTTTTTAATTATTGAAGATATTCCAATCGATTCATCACTTTGTGACTAGTTCGATTCGGGACGAGTTCCGAGATTAAGACTTTAAATCCCTCAAGATAATATTGGAGATGATCAAATACATACTTTTACCTCCACATGTTCAATTCCTTTGCCGCGACTAAGCTATCTTCATTTGATATTAAACATCTTAATATAGCATTAATATTTTTCTCCATCTTCACTATCATGCTCACTCTTTGCACATTCTCACAATCACCTATACGTGTACCGTTCACACCCGTAAATAGGGATCTTTGGTCATTTCCACTCTCCATCTTTGAGCATGCGGAAAACACTACCCCTCTTTACACCTTCGTTAACAGTTGGTCATAATTTGTAGAACGTTTTTGCATATTTTCATGAACAGACATTTCTTCAAGGTTCTATATAAATGCTTCACACTGGTGTTAATATTCACAATAATTTATGTAGAAGAAAGGTTATCAAAAGCAAGATAGTACTAATTATTTGGGTGTCCAAAAGAGTGGTACGTATTAACTTTATAAAATTGCCACCAAACACGGTCAAAGGTAGTGATTATTTGCCGGATTACTTAATTATCACGTGTTCCTTTTTAAGCGAAATATGGGCTTCCAAAGCAGATCCACAAATCTTATATAATAGAGTAAGTTTTTTCTTTTTCTTTTTCTTTTTTCTTTTTTCTTTTCCAGTGGGAAAGAGAAGAAAAAAAATACAATAGAGTAATTAAGCTAATCGAATTGTTAAAATATATTACAGAGAAGTTACATCTCATATACATATATTAAGTGGTCCCTCTTGTGATGATGAACTCATCAAAGGCAAAAAGTGAAATAATATAAAATAAAAAAAGATAACCAATGATTTTCACCTTATGTTGAAGTGAAAAATTATTTGAGAACCTTGAAAGCAGCTAAATAATTTCATGAACTGTCCAAGATATCTCAAGAAAAAGAACAATTATATATATACATACATACACACATATATATATATATATGATACTTCAAATTGTTTTTTTGCTTGGTCTACGCAGTCAAACCCATGTAATGATGATTAATCATTCTTGTTCTTATTGAGACTAACCAAGTTTAATTGACAAGTGACATGATAATGTACTACCATTCCAAATTTATGATAACACTTACAGGGTCATATCTTTGAGAAGAAGAAACATTGAAGTCTGTATTGTTACTCAACTTTGAAAGTAAGAAACAAATATATTAATTAGCATCAGAAAGGGGAAGAACAATGTTTTAATTATATTAAGAGAACTCAAACCCTAAACCCTAAACCCTAAATCTTTCTCATAATGAGAATATACTATTCCGGTCTGGTCCGGTATGGAATGAACTTATAATCATGGAATCGACTCGATCATCAGATTCTAGATTATAAGGTCATAACCCTAGCCTATTCCCATTTTGGGCGTGGGCGGAACAGATCTACTAGTTCTTTGATTCCAGTTAGTAAGATAAGAGTTGAACTAAGAAATAGATTCTATTTTAGAAGCGAAAAAAGAGCGTGCTATTTGTTTACATCCATTAGTTTGTAAGGGATTCAATGCAGATTTTGATGGAGATCAAATAGCTGTTCATGTGCCTTTATCTTTTGCGGCTCAAGTAGAAGCTCGTTTACTTATGTTTTCCCATATGCTTATTGGGCTTTACGTATTAACTAGCGGGAATCGTCAAGATATTTGTGCGAATAGGTATAATCCGTCCAATCGCAGAAACCTTAAAAATGAAAGAATTCGCGATAATAACTGTAAGTATACGAAAAAAAAAAAAAGCATGACAACTGCATAAAAAAACGGCTATTCAATGAGTTTCTCATATAGGCAATTATAGTAAGCAAAACATCAATATTTAAGATTTTTTTTAAATATAAAATTGATGCATCGCTGCATAGCTAATTAATTAGCTTGTCAAAGTTTACCAAAAAAAAAAAAAATTAGATTGTCAATATAAATACTTTTCTAATCCATAACGCAACCCTTCTGGTTGTTCACCACATTTGAATAATTTTCATTGGTATTATTTGTCCTTAAAGAGCTAGATTTTTTTTTTAGATTTTTCTACTGGTTTATTTTTTACTCAACTAATCCAATTCTCCCTATTAAGTTTTTTACCATAATTATGTATCAGGACTTGAGTTTGAGATCATCGGGTAAGTTAAAACAACCATGTACTAGTTGATTCCTTTAAAATGTGCTTCATAATTTTTGAAAATAAAATTTTATAAATTCTAATACTTAAAAATAAAATTGTGATCATTGTACTATTGCTCTTTAAAAAGATTTATTTTATTTATTTTAATGAGGTATGCTTAAAGAGAATTTATTTATTGAAAATTTGATCTTAGTTGAATCTTTTCAACTTTAAATATTTTTTCACTATTACTTATTATTTAGTGCAGAATGGAAGAAAGACAGATAAATATCAATAAGTACACATTTCTGAAAATTTAAAACTGTCCCTAAAAAGTTTAGACAATATAGAGAGCGGCATCTTTTCAGACTACTGTTTTGTTGGCATTTTCAAATTTCAACAACCTTAAACTGCTATTATTACAAAATCCTTTTTCTTTTTCTGTTATCTAAATGTCCCTAAATATTCTTGAGCTCTTATTACTCTAATTATTCAATTATGAAGTGTTTTTTTTTTAATTCTCCACTAGTCAACATTTTAACGAAGAGATTAAGTTCTCATTCTACTTTAAATTCTTACAAAATTTAACTAAGTCATCTAGCCAGAACAAAATAAATAAATAAAATGGTCCTTATAATATACTGATTAAAGATGCTTATCAGTTCTTTCATTCATTGTTATAAAGTACTTATTGGAAGCCTATATTGCTCTAGCTCTGCACCCTCAAACTAATTATTAGAGCTATGCAAACCAATGATGAGCTGAACCTTTTGTGAACTAAGGTGTCAGTGTTTACAATACAATTGAATTAATACTTATAAACTCACGTTTCTTTTATGTAGAACAGGCATGTCCGCCATTAAAATTCAACTTTTTTATCATAAAAAAGAAGAAGATGAATATTACAATTACATTAAATATGACAGCAGTTGAATTGAGAACTACATCACCTGTATTTTTTTTTTTTTATCTTTTTATTGTAGGGGTCCGTTGATACTGGATGTACCCTCTCGTATTAAGTATTAACATTTGTTTATATTAAATTTTTGAAAAATGTATTTATTATGTTACATGAGACAATTTGTCTTATGCAACACATAAAAAAATAGGTGGGATTCACTTTTGTTCTTTCTCTCTCTTTTTCAAAGTGGATTCTATTTACGTTTTTGTGTGTTGCATGAGACAAATTATCTCATTCAACATAAAAAAAATCAAACCCTAAATTTTTATATCTATTTTTCTGTTCACGTGTATTAAATAAATAATATCTAATTATTATTAATAAAAAAAATAAACACAATATATGAAATTTTAATATGAGAGATCCAATCACGTTTATATTATTCTCCGTTTATTTGTTGGGTTTTATGATTCTCTCCTAAGATACATAAAAAAAATGCAACATTTTGTTTTTTTGTTTTTTTAAACTGAGCGGGCCCCACATACTATTTATCTCGGCAAAATAATACATCTTTTTCCTAATATCATGAGATTAATATTGTCCATATTTTTTTTTTACCAAGCCGGAAAATGCTGCCAAAGGAAAGATGCTAATGTGGACAAGTGACAAAGTGAAGAATATATTTGCCGGCCACTATGCTATATGGACGAAAAGCAGCTTGGGAAAAGTATGCTTTTACATCCTGTTTAGGGATTCCAAGTAAGGTAGTAGTAACTCAAGAAAAATTGGGTTATCTAATCTTTTTTGGTTGGATAATCTAAATCATTAAATGGAACTTAATACTATACTCTTAAATGTACGCATCCCATTAATCCTGTATGATTGTTTGGCTAGTATTGTTGCATACTCATTCTATTTGACCATTCTATGTCCTTCACAGGTTTTATTATTCTTGTCAGCATATAAACTTAACAAAAGTAATTCCTCTGCAATTTCTAATTAATTACTAGTTGATCCAATTTGTTATGCAGAAGTTTGATAAAGAAACTAGTCTTTTTGAACTTTCAATAGAAAAAACAATCAATTTGGCTTTAGGATAATTTTAATTAAAATTAGCATGCAGCCCTATGAAGAGTGCCATATCTAGCAAAATAAGATAAAAACAAAATCCTTTCTTGCAGTGAAACAGGATGCCAGGTGACATGGTGTTTCTGCAACTTGTTGCTTCTGAGAGAAAAAGTAAGAGATTGGCAAGCTTATGATAGAAGAAACAGCTAGTTAAAACAACACTCCTAATTAATTGCTGCACATGCAACATTTAATACTACTGGACACTTTTGCTTTATTTGTTGAGCCATCAAAGGAATCTTGTTGTCAGAGTCTTTTGTTTTTTCCCAACTAAAAGAGAGATCAGAACAAGTACATGAAAGAATGCTTTGTAATTCTTTGTCCTCTCCTGATTCCAGATTGGTTTTGGTATGGGTCATTTTCAGTCAAATGCTAGTTTTCTCCTCTTCTTTTATTTCTTTTTCCCTTCTTGAGAGGGTTGGGAATTTTCCTGATAGAAGGAAAGAAATCAAGATGCATTGTCCCTTGAGATGCAACGACAACCTAAACAAAGAAAGAAAGGTAGCATCTAGCTCACCTAAACTTATCTTCAAATCTCATGTGCTACCATGGTAAATAGCCATAAGATTTATATATTTGAATAATTCTGAAGGCAAAACAATAATTCTTGTAAACTGAAAGTGTTCTTCCTAGAAATGATTTTAAAGTGCTAAAACAATATCCAACTCAATAAATGATCATATAGATTATCTCTTGTGGGCTTGAAGGAAAGAAAGTGTTGAGGGGCAATATTGCAAGGCTTAACCAAGGAAAAACTATATCAGCAAGAAAAAAACCTAGCTATTGGACAGCTAAACAAGTGAATAGGTCTAAGAGATTATAAAGGGTAGATTCAAAAAGCTGATATATAGAACCAAAAGTTCATCTTTGAGATAGATTCACATGAGAAATAAATACTTGCTTTGCTTACACACATGCACACTCTACACAAACGTACTTTTTTACAGTAAAACACCAGGATAAGAATAAAGAAAAGGATAAACAATTCTAACTTAAGGACAAGAAATGCTCAATATTATGTTTTCCCATTACTATTCACGCTTCCATTAAACAAAAAAGGAGATAATGAATAAACTTAAATGTGAATTTTCTCGAGTCAATCAATAATTGGCAATGATACATATAACTAAAGGGCCTCATTGGTCTTTATCATTATGGCCAGTGCAAATAAAGGGAAAGTAAAGGAAAATGAAAACAGAGCTTATATTCTTTATAAAGCAACGAAACAAGACTAAAATCACCCCATAGGAAAAAAAGGATATCCAAGAAAATAGCCATCCAATAAGGCCCCACTTCATCTTCCTTCTATTCATGGCAATCCCCCATGAAAGGAAGTTTGAACACTTACTCAAATTGAAGAAAGCAACCCACACTTTTTCTTTCCTTCACTTCAGAATCCCATCAAATGCAATTCAATTTTTTTTTATAACTTTTGGTGGCATTCTGATTTCTTGCCTTTGCTAGAGCATAATCTCACGTGGGAAGCCTGTGAACCGAATAACACCCTCGTCTTGAGCACGTAGGCCATGCAGTATAGAGAAGTCAAACTTTGATGGATTGGAGATATTGTCTAAAGCCTTATCAATATATGTCCATGATTCTCAAATTGACCAATGAACCGTTTGGAACTGAAAATGTTTTATTAGTATTTTTTTGTGTCTATCATTCTTCTTTGTCTGATATTTAACAGATAAAATACTTCAAAGTATCTCACGGTTATGAGAGAGGTCCTTTCACCAAAAGCATGAATGACTGGAACTGGACCATACTACACATGTTGCATCATTGCGTGTTATTATTAAATTGGACCACGTGATTTTTGCTATTGAATTATTCTTGTTGCTTAAGTGGAGATAAGAAATGTCTAATAAAGCTTACTCATTTCTAATCTTGAATTGATGTTTTTTGCATCCTACTCATGGGTTGATAGCTACTGCGATGCAGTTTTGGGTCGAACTTACATAATGGGCAATAAAAGTTGGGTAAATAGGCCTTAATGAATTGAGCCATTGAGGCAGAAATAACAAACATGATTTTCATTTTGGTCCACAGCTAATAAAAATAACATGATTTTCAAGTTACCAAGCAATGCAACTTTCTGTTAATTAGAGTCAAATTTTCCGAGGCGTGTATAATTGTACATATCAGATAACGGTGTGATCATATCACAGGTAAGTAATTTGTTAGTTAAACATAAATCAATAACAAGTCCTACCTCAGCTTTTCTAACTGAGTTCTTAGAAAAAACAAACATGGAGGTACTATGCCTGCATGTCAGAAGTCCAATTAAACTTTCTGTAAATTAAAATTTGTTACTTTCAGGAAACAAACATGGAGGTACTATGCCTGAATGTAAAGATGCAAAAGTCCAATGAAACTTTCTGTAAATTAAAATTTGTTACTTTCATGGGCATGTATATATCACACAACAATTGTCATGACCAAAGCCCAAAGACTATCCTAAAAGACTAGCTTATTGGATGGGAAAGCACCATGCAAGTACCATATTGAGCTGCTGCTATCTTTCTCAACGTGGGAAATAACAACGATGCATCCATACCTTTCAAATAAATGAAGAATATGTCTCATCTTAAGCTCAGACGTTCTACTTGAGTTTATACATAGTTCAATGCTATGAATATATTAGTATAAAAAACACCATACGAATTAAAGTAGTGTACTAGTGTGCTATTTCATTCTTCACATAAAACCACTTATATTATCTATACTGTCAATTAGCTATTATCCTGAACTTGCACGCATGTTCATCTCACTGTGTCAAGGTGACAATGGACAACAAGCTGTTGGACTCATTGTGAAAGTAGACACATTAGGCTGCCAATGTTATGGAAACTCTTTATCTTCCAGCATATCGTTTTTGATAACTTGCCCTTAGAGGTGTTGCACAAAGATCCTTCCATAAATTAACTGAAGGATCAGAACCAGAACTGCTTCTAGTATCTTCATTCAGAAATGCTGTTGTGGTGCTATGAGACAGGCAATCCTCCATTACGAGTCTCTTCGCATTCTGTGAAGAACACCTGCTAGCTTTCAGTTTAGCCTTAGTTGATTCTGTCAAATTCATGTAGCTTGGTTGATGAACATCTCTTCCCTCTGTTGCTGCTGCCATGACATTATTGGCGGATGGCAGATATGGAGATTCAGATGTACATGATGTTGATCCAGGGCTATCATCATACATGCATTCAGAGCTTATGGCCGAAGATGATGGAGTTGATTGAAATGCTGCAAGAGGTTTAACTGAAATCCTAGTTGTCACACCATTCCTTCTTGATTGAAAGGGAGGAACAAGGTCTTCGCTTTTTCTGGACATTGGACTCTCCCATGGCTTGGCCTCCATCCAGCGTTCTAACAAGCTACATCCTAAGCTCTTATTGTCTAGGCTGTGATGCTTGAGACGAGTCACTGCTTTAATGGCTTTCATGTTTGGACTAGCACTCAGTCTTGATTGCTAAAAGCAAGCAAAGTAAATTGAACCACATGAATTTGGTACTAATTTTAACTACTAAATCTTACCAAAGAAACAAGACCTTCTCTACTTCATTACCTGTGTGGAGAAAGAGTATGCCATTGCTCTATCCCTCTTAATGGCTCCTTCTTGCCTCATTCTTAGCTTTGCTTTAACTTCATCCACAGTTCCAGGAATGTCACACCATCCTTGCTGATGATAACATGGGAAAATATGCTATATGTTAGCATGGGAAATATCATTAGAGAATGTTACATTATATTGAAGCAAATTATAAAGAACTTATGATACCTCAATCTGCTTAACAGGATCAGCCTGGTTACGATACTCATCTAATAATTTCTGCACTGCTTTCCCTTCTGGAGACTTTCTCACATTCCTTGCCCTTACACGTGCCTGCACTCGAACAAGAGCCTGCATGCACTTTAGAGTAACAGCTGCTTGCTTTCTGACTTGCCGGCCACGAAATATAGCTTGCAGCCTTACCACTGCCCTCAAGGCCCTGAAAGCTCGTCTAGCCTGCAATGTTGATTGATAGAAGTAAGGTCAATAAATGAAAAAAAAAAAAGGGGGAAGAGCAACAGCATTGAAAAAAGCAAACACAAGAGACTTATGCCTAATATACTAATCAAATCCTCCTAAACATTGAGCAAAAGAATGACAGATCTTTCTGTAAACAGTACTATTATAGCATTTTGGAAAACTCGAAAATTTGTAGACTCAGTTTTGAATTATATAACCGTAGTACAGTAGCACCATAACCATTCAAATCAAACCAAAGTCATTCACCCCTTCCCTATGAAAATTCAATTTCACTTTACTGAGGTGAGCTCATTTCAAATCACAAAAACTCAAGCACCATTTTTAAATTTCGATTTATTGGTGGATCTTGTACAAAATTTTATGGAAAAAACAAAAAATCCAATTTAATAGGTGACCTAACTCCAAAGTCCTGATCCGAAATTGGACTTGGAATTTCAAATATGCTAAGATAAGGAGGGCCCTAACTCCTAATTCCTGATCCGAAATTGGACTTGGAATTTCTAAGTCGTGTAATTTGGAAGAACATCTAATCTGAGGCCTAATCAAGGATTAGGTGCTTGAATGTAGAAACTCATGCCATAACAAGCTTAAAGAAAAATGCTTTGTTATGCAAAGGTTTGAAATTAAAGAAGAAGGGAAGAAAGGGAGTTACCAAGAAGGCTCGAAACACAGCCTGAATGCGTATGGCAGCCCATTCCTGCTTGATGACCATGAAATCTTTGGGTGGAGCTCTGACCACCACAGCCACCGCAGAATTCAGCGAAGAAGAATCCGATACAGCAGCACCACCCTTCTTCGTGGTGGAAGAGGTGGAGATGGACGACACTTCTGAATGGTTCCTCCATAGCTTCCACTTCTTGCTTTTTTTATCACTACCCTTCTCCTGAATCAACATAACCCCATAAATAGTAATTAACATCACACCACACCACAGCAGTTAAACATAACAGAAATAAAAAAAGTCGTTTACTTGATCAATTGTTGAGCTTGAGGTCTTTCTGTGAGAAAAAAGTGATTTAAACCATCTTCCCGAAGCACCCATTGGAGAAAAGAAACCGTTTTTGCTGATGTGAGGTATAGCTTCTGCTGTGCTGCAAGTTGGAGATGATGCAGTGAGAGAGAGAGAGAGAGAGAGAGAGAGAGAGAGAGTTTTGGTGTTTTTGTTTTGTTTTACACTCTGGAGAGTATTGGAGCCTTGTGTGTTTGTGTTGGAGAATTTTGAAATTTGAAATTTGTACATTTGAGGAAGAAAAGGACCAAACCCAACCATAACGGTAACCATATTTAAAATAGAAACTGAGACCCTTTCCCACGCTCCGATTTGACTCCTACACTTTTTTTGTCAGGCGGGAACGGTTGGGTCGTTTTCGGTGGGTTCACTCTTACAAAGAAGCCAAGTGTCACGTGTAGATTTGCCAGTCAGTAGAATTTGCCCATGGAGCCTTTAATTTAGTAACCAAAAAAAATTATTTAGATGATTAATTATGTGCATATTTTTTTTTCTTTTGTAACTGATTATATAAAATCAGTTTCGCCGACTGTAAATAAGTGCGCAATTTCTGTTATAGAGAGAAAGTACAACTTTTCAAAAATAACGTCACATTTTGATTATATAACAACTTTAAAATTTTAATAAGTTTTATTTGATTATAGCAAGGTTTAAAATCTTTCTTTGTGAAAAAAGATTAGAGAAAGAGTTGATCGGCACTTGGACCCCCACCAGGCCCAGGTCCAAATGCACGAGTTTGGACTTAGACTTGCTTCAAGCCATCCGATGTGGGCACTTGTCTGACCTTTGTTCTCCGTTAGTTTTTCTCTTTCTCGATCAAACACCCTTGAATCACACTTACTAAAAACCACTATGCGGGGGTATAAAGAGATTGAGCTACGTTGTATTTTGATTTAATTCTTTTGTTAATTTTGTATAGACTCAAATTATAATTTATTCCAGCTATATTTAAAAAATAAAAACTTTGGCTTAAGTCTATTTGATATTTAATAATTAAAAAAATATTAAAATAATATTATTTTATTATTATTCAAAATTATCAAAATAATAATTTTTTTATTTTATTTAAAATAAATAATATGATACCTATGAGTTTATAGGTCCAGCGGTAGCATATAAAAAAATTATATGACATTTTCTAAATAGATTTTTTTTGATACCTGAGTCTGTTCTATTTTACTAATATAATAGGTCGAGTCTGGTCTGACGTAGGTCAAGTTGTAAGTCGTTGTTAGGCTCGGTTATCTATTTACACCCTTACTCTTCGGCTCGTTACCCTCACAACAACTATACTATCCAATAGAATCCACTCACACTTGTTCTCTCATGCTTGCTTGTGCACAATAGGTCCAGAATTCCCAATTCTAGGGAATTTATAAATCAGTCCACACACTCATCCTTGACCATTTATCCAGAACAATAGTCATGTTGAATTTCGTTTTAGTTCTTTCGGCTACATTTCCCTAAACTTTAAATAAAGGAAAGTACACAGCTAAGTGAAGACCTCCTATGCATTATGGAATAAATATTTTGATGATGACAAAGGGTTTACAAGAAGTCTCAAATTGAAGATGGAGTTTGAAGATACAAATGGTTAGGTATTTTTAAAATTTTTGTTACACACTATATTATATCATATAGTATCTACCTAAGCTCCAATGCATATCATTGCATATTATGCATTTCTCATATTAAAAATATTAAAACGATTTGTTAAACCACTAAATGCAAGGGACGTGTTACATAGATTTGTTTTATGTAGATTTGTCTTTAGGCATAACAAAAAGTAATCAGGTTTCTATAATTAAATAGCTATATAAAAATAAAAGAAAATATAAACGCTATCAGGTTATTATAATAGGAAAAAACAAAAGTAAATAAAAAGTTAATAGCATGTGTAGTTTACGTGGGCCTTTTGAAGACTATATGTAATATAATATATAATAGTAATAAAATGTGAAATAGAAAAATTACTTTTCTAAATAAAAAGTTCACGTGGGTTGGTTTCAATATTTTAAAAGGCATCAATTTGTATATTGCTTTCCAAAGCTTCACAGCTTCATGTGGGATCCTTATGTTTTAAACTATATAATAATATAAAAGGGATCATTTTATCAATTTTTTCTAAATACATGCTAGTGGTATTAGAGCTTCGTGCTCTGAGTGATTGACCATTAGCCAAAGAGTTAAAGATCCCATGGCTTCTTTCCATCAGGATATTCCTCTTGAGGGTGGTTCCACCTATCGCCCTCCGTTTTTCAATGGGATTGATTATCCCTATTGGAAAACAAGGATGCAGATTTTTCTTGAGTTGGTAGATCTTAAGATCTGGTATAGTGTAGAGGAAGGATATCAGCCTCCAACCACACTAGATGACAATGGAAGAACTGTGCCTAAAAAACACACATATTTCACTAGAGCAGAATTAGAGAGAGTCCAATACAACTTAAAAGCAAAGAACTTAATAGTTAATGCACTTGGTAAGGACGAATACTACCGAGTATCTTCAAGTAAGACCGCACATGAGATATGGCTCATTTTAGAAATAACTCATGAAGGTACTAGTGAAGTAAAGCGTTTTAAACAAAATGCATTATCTAGGGAGTTTGAGCCCTTTGAGATGTATGAGGGTTAGTCTATATTTGACATGCAAAAACGTTTCATGCATATAGTTACATCAATGAATGCTTTAAATATTTTTCATGATGATGAACTGTTAGTTAACAAAATTCTGAGATGTCTTACTAAGGAATGGGATGCAAAGGCTTCGGCTATCTATGAAGCTAAAGATCTCTCCACAATGTCCATTGCTACTTTATTTGGAAAGCTTTAGGAGTACGAGTTGGAGTTAAGCATAAGGGTTAACCGTGAGTTTAACAAGAAAAATTCAAAGAGTATAGCCTTAAAAGTTTCTTCTTCTCAATCCAAGCAAAGTAAGAAAAACAGTGAAGCTTCATCAAGTGAATCAAGCACCGGTGAAGACGATGAAGTGACAATGTTCGTGAAAAAGTTTAACAAGTCATTCACCAAATTCTTCAACAAGAAGTTCAACAAAAGGAGAAGAAGGGCCAGCAACCCAAGTAGAAAAGAAAACAACTCAAACAATGCTTGTTTTGAGTATGGAAAGGAAGGTCACTTCCAAAAGGACTGCCCAAACAAAAAGAATAAATATGACAACGACAAGTTCAAAAAAAGTAAGAGCAAAAAGAATAGAGCTTACATGGCATTTTCAGATGACACTTCAAGTACCACAAGTTTCTCATCAAGTGAACAAGCTAACATTTGCTTCATGACACAAATTGAAAAAGATCAAATTGAGGTATGTTCTAGCCACTCTTCTAGTTCTAGGTGGGATTCCGATTCGGTATGTGATTCTAGTTCAATATGTAGTTCTAGCTCCTCTTGTGATACTTCGTCTATGGTTGGTCCATCATATGATGATTTGTTGTATGCTTGTAAGTGTTTGCAAGTTGAAAATGAAAAATTAACCTCTAAGGTTAAGAAAATTAAAATTGAGAAAAATTGCTTGCAAGACAAAGTTGATAGCTTAGCCACCATTGTAAATGATCTAATGAAAGACAATGAGGATCTTAAAAATGAAAATCTTTTCATGAATTGTCTTGTTGGATCATGTGATGATGTGAACCCCCCTTGCACTATTTCATGTACTAAATGTGTTGAATTATCTAATGAAGTGGATAGGTTGAAGATAATGGTTGATAGAATAACTAGTGGGAAAGATAACTTGAATGTCCTCCTTGGTAGACAAAGGGTTGATACTACTAAACATGGACTTGATTTTCAAAAACCTCCCTTTGCTCAACCAAGAAAGACAAACTATTATCCCCCTAGGTTCATGTCTAAACTACCATTTAACAAATGTACATATTGTTGCATGAGTGGTCATCTAGTATATCAATGTAATATTGAGAAATATGACCTTAATGGATCTAATCTTAAGTGGATTCCTAAGAGGACTACGGATGTGGGTCACATTGCATCAACATCCTATGGACCTCAACCTAGAGTATCTAGCATGTTCTTTAGCCCCAAGGTTAAGAACATGATACATGTTCCTAAGAAAACTTAGTGAGCATGTATGCATCATGTGATATGGATTGTTTTATTTGATAAATCATTTTGCACATGATGTCTAGTTGTTGTTTGGTGTTTAATATGACATGCATAGACTATTTTTAACTCATCTTATGTTGTACATGTTCAATATAAATGATCTATATGTTGATAGAAAGCTTACTTCATGCCTATATAGTTGAAAAATTCAATGTTTTACTCTTATATTCAATTCTGTCCAAATAGGACAGCAAGCCTATTTCAATGTATCTTTCACAAATAATGCCTATTAGCAATCATGAATGAGTTATCTTTCATTGCAAATACTTGTACTATTTGATAAATGTTTGATCTTGCTAATATGCCTAGAAAGGCAAGTATGAAAGATGATGTTGTAGGTATTTGAAAGAAAATGAAAATGAATGAAAAGATGAAGATTACGTTGAAGATATTGGCAAATTGAAGGACCTCTTCGACTAAGCCCAAAAGTTGCAAAGAAGCAAAACTTGCTACAAAACATGGGTAATCTTTTGATATATGACATGCTTGTTATATACCTTATCCAACACTGATCCTTTTTATATGCTATTATTGATTTTGATGATGTCAAAGGGGGAGAAAATATGAATATCATCAAATTGAGCTTATGCATATTTTGAGGGGGAATTTTGAGAACATATGTATGCCTTACTTTTGATTAGCATAAAAATTTTAGTATGCATATGTTTAGGGGGAGTATGCGATTACATGATTTTAATATCTTATTCTACTAACCTTTATTTATCACAATTTGTGTTTAAGTTGCCATCATCAAAAAGGGAGAGGTTGAAGACCTCCTATGCATTATGGAATAAATATTTTGATGATGACAAAGGGTTTACAAAAAGTCTCAAATTGAAGATGGAGTTTGAATATACAAGTGGTTAGGTATTTTTAGAATTTTTGTTACACACTATATT